CCATGGTGGAACAACACGCTTTCGTTTTTGAGGAAAAATAAAATGGATCTATGGCACCGCTTTAAGAGATGTCCTGATCAGAATCACTTGTTATTATACAAAAAGGCCAATGCTCTATTCAGGAAGGAATTACAGAAATCAAAGGCACTTAGTTTCGAACTTTTCTCGAGACGAATTCACAGAAATACATCAATGAAAGTTGTCTGGAACAAAATCAACAGACTTAATGGGACTTCAAACCTGAACCAAATTTCTGCCATCTGCACTCCCAATGGAACTTTAACTGACGCAGATGAGATTTCTAATTACTTTGGAAAAGTGTGGTGTGAATACTCCTCTGACAGCAACTTCTCCAGTGCTTTCATCGAAAATAAAAGAACTCCAATATCTCTTTCAAATAATATCGATAGATGTGCCATGTTCCTGGAAAATTGCGTATCTACCTCAGAACTTAGAAATTGTCTCTCCAATTTGAAGGGGAAGACACCTGGTCTAGACCGCATCTCATACCAAATGATCAGTGCTATGTCTAAGTCTAGTAAAAAGAAATTACTAGACCTATATAATACGGTATTTATGACTGGCCATATACCCTACATGTGCAAACTGGCAACAGTTGTTCCAATTCCAAAATCAAAAAATGTCTCAATCGCATCTGATTATCGCCCAATTTCTCTTTTATCTTGCCTCTCTAAGGTTTTAGAGAAGATTATGGCATCTAGATTATCTTGGTTTCTTGAATCCAAGAACCTGATAACAAAGCAACAAGTTGGTTTCAAGCGGGGTAGAGGATGCATCGACGCTCTGTTACATATTGATTATTTCACAAGCAAAGCAATTTCCGAACGAAATCACGTAACAATTCTCTCAATTGATTTCGAAAAAGCATTTGACAGAGTTGGTCTTCATGTTATCTTAAGACTCTTGAAATCATGGAATGTTGGACCCAAATTCTTCAACTACATCAAATCATTCATGTCGCATCGGCGGTTCAAAGTTAGAATCAACAATCATCTTTCTGATTCCTTTCCGCTAAAGAATGGCATTCCGCAAGGATCTCCTCTCTCTGTCACGCTTTTCCAGATCGCTTTCAACGAAATTAGCGAAATTCTTCGCCGTGTACCAAGAGTGGAACATTGTCTCTACGCGGACGATGTATACATTTTTACAAAAGAAAAAGACAACACGAAAGCAATCAACATCCTCGAATCTATTGCATGTGAGATCTCCACATGGGCAAACTCGTCAGGAGCAATAATCTCTATACAAAAATCAAAAAAAATGCACATTTGTCGAAAACAAATGTGCGATGCAGGAAACCTACTGATGCATATTAACGACTTACCAGTACTAAATGTGCAGACGCTCCATATTCTCGGGCTCACGTTTTCAAACAATTATCGTTGGAAGGCACACTGCCTTCGGTTAAAAAACTCCCTTTTAACAAGGGTAAATTTCATACAGTACGTTGCTTGGAGAAGCCATGCGCATATTAACACTATCGCTTATCTTACCAAAATGCTTGTGTTAAGCAAAATTGACTATGCTTTGATAATTTATGGCAATAGCTGCAAATCTAATATCAACATCCTTAAACCGGTCTATCACCAAGCCGTTAGAGCAAGTTGTTAAGCTTTTCGGACGACACCCATAAATAATATTGTAATTGAAACTGGTCTCCCAACTTTAGAAAATAGACTGTATGAGTTAAAAGCTAAAATAGTCCCCAAACTTGTTAATTCAAACAAATCCATTCTCGGTGATGACGTAAGAAAAATTATTATTGCGAAGAAAATTCCAAAGTCACCATCTGCAATTGACCGTTGTTTGTGCATCGCAAAGGAATTAAACATTCCCTTAAAAATTTCCCGCTCTTTTGGTGTTAAACCTCCCTGGATTTTGAAAGACTGCTCTTTTGACATCTCACTGTCTATGCACAAGAAAGAAGATACTCCAAATTACGTCTTCAGGAATCTAATAGCTGAGAAAACCCAAGTATTGGACAATACTGGTTGGAATCTTTTGTACACAGACGGCTCAAAATCTCCTGGTCTGTCTCCTGCTTGTGCGGTGGTAGATGCTACATGACGGGTTCTTCTCAACCACATATTTCACGAAAGCACTTCAACTTTCATAACCGAAGCCAGAGCTATCCTTCACGCTGCCAACCTTGCCCATAAAAACAAACTCAAAACCGTCATTGTTACTGACAGTTTGTCTGTATTACAAGCTACCCGGAACCCTTCGACTTCGAGATGGAGCACCATCAACAAATTAAGGAATATAATTACTACACCCGACGGAAAAATTAAAATGTTATGGGTACCAATTCACATCGGTTTACTGGGAAATGAGCAGGCTGATCGAGCGGCAAAGTATGCTGCTTCTGCTCCTCTAATTATGGATGATGTCATGGAAAAGTTGGATCTTCAAAGATACATTGGAAGAAAAGTTAAAGAGAAAATTGCAGAGGGAAATTTACAATACCATCATCAACACTACTCTTGCATTAACCCTCAATTAACTCCACCTCTATATCCAACAAATGTTGAGAAAACCAAGATACAAACATTTTCGAGAATTCGCCTTGGTCATACAATTGCAACTCACCAATGGATCCTGAAGAAGTCTTCTCCCCCAATCTGCTGTTGTGGACAAACTCTTACTATAAAGCACATTCTCTGCGACTGCCTCAACTTTTCCTTGGCTAGAAGTATTGCATTTGGAACGATTAACCCTTTGAACATTCTACAATCAGCTTCAGAGCAGAATATCAATTCAATATTTTACTTTATTAATACTTCTAAGCTTATTATCTAATATCCATTTATTTAAATTAGAGCCGATAGCCTGTGTTGCTAGTGCTCAATGTCTTTTTTTTAGTCTAAGAATTCAATTCATTAGTCTAAAATTAAAATAATAATAATAATAATAATGAAAATCATAATATTTGTTTGAAAAAGTTGCATTTGGAACATTTGGCACATTGCAGGATGATAAGGATCCTCAGGTAAACTGAAAGATGGACAACGATTTACACTAATCTCAGGAAAATTTGCAAAGCAGAGATCTAGCAGTGTACCATTACAATTAAGAATACGGTTAACTAAATTATGATCAAATAATTCGATAAAGAACACGACAGCTCTATCAGATGTTGAAGTAGAAATCAAGCAGCCAGAATTATCACTGTTACACCAAGTGACTTGAGGCAAATTGAAATCGACCAACACAACTACCAAATCGGTGGGTTTCGACTGCTTGGTCAACTCACAAATGAAGGCGGCCTGTTTCTTATATATGGAGATATCAGAATTAGGAGCAGGTTATAAGTAGCTGTTTATTAGACATTTTCGCTCGAATGGCGATAAATTCAACGTCAGGATAAGTGGGATATTCAATTGAATTGGACGGGACTGGCGCAGATATGGCAATCAATACACCACCACCAATGCGATTCAATCGATCATTTCTGAAAAGCTGGAAAGAATTGTGGGAAGTTCTGACGAATGAAGATCAGGTTTTAACCAAATGTCAGTGAAGGCTAAATAGGAAAACTCCGTGCTCACTGAATTTAGGAAAGTAGAACGAATTTTTGAATTTACGCTCCTAACATTTTGATATGTGAGAAATAATGAGCCTGAAGAAACACCCAGTTTTTTGAAGGCGACAGGACTACGGCATTAGTATTATGGGGTTGATCACGAGGGATAAATTCCTTAAGTAAGGATCCAGCCACAATGGTTTATTTAACAACATATCCATGTTTTCAGTCGGAAGTAGAATTTTAAAAGACGGGATTGCTCTAGATTGAGAAGGAGCCAATTTAAAAATGCTAACATGCTTTAAATTGACTGATGGGACTTTCACCGCCAGATAACTTTTTATGTTACCAATGGAGCAGCTTATGCGACATGCCCAGTTTGATGACGAGCGTTTACACTCGAACAGACGGGGAGAAAGGATGATTTATATTGCACTTTATTAGTTTTAGGCGATGACGCCTGAGCAAAGTGAGTGACGGCACTGGGAGAAGACACTCCAGCCATAGCTTCAATTAGAAGGACTTGCCGGCTTATTTGTAACTATTTTCGTTACCGTTCATTGTATAGATTGAGGGCCCGCTAACATGTACCAACGAATCAGATTTAAAAGGAATCAGAGGTGACCTACCACACGCTACTCTACGAGTTGTAATGTTGCTAGCATGGGAAGAAGACGAGTGTTCAATAAAACGACACTCATCAATCCTAGACTTAATTAGTGCAAACTTCTCCCAGAAGGAGCCGAGATTTTTACTGAATTTCGAGAAACCATTTCTCGTCTCCGTGAAGCGTTTGTAAAAATCAAACGTTCCTCTTCCTGCAGTCCGGACATGATCGATGCGATATAAAGAGAGTTAAAGAAGAAATAAACAGGAAAAAAACAAAGGAATTGCATGGACATTATGGGTATTTTTCATTATTTCTTAAAGCAAAATAAGAAGTTTTTAAGGTTTTCAATTTTAAAAATTAGAGCACAGAAATATTTAATATAATATGCATTTTCTAAAGAAAAAATTTGATGCTCTTCTTCTTTTCTATCATTATTTGTGCTTATTGTGCATTATTTGTGTCGCAAGCCCTATTATTTTCTATTTATTTACGTAAACAACTTGTGCTTTAGAGATACTCTATTTTAAACGTATGCTCTGTGAAATTTCATACATAGCAAAATAGTATTTTAATCTGTTCTATATATTTAAGAGTCCTCTATAAAACTTATGGCTTGGACATATTCTTTACTACGTCTTTCAATGCGTTTCGCCGTCGAATAAAAACAAAAATTAAATATGCATGAGAGCCACCTCCTACGATAACCAAACATTAGCAATCAATCTTAATTCCCGATTACTGTTTACTTTTAAGCCAAATGTCAGACCTGTCAAATTAGCCCCTAATTTTTATCTTCGCTTGGCAATGCTGCTCAGAGAAATAAAAGTTATACAACAACAAATTAACCGGAGATTTTGAGAACAAGGGAGAATTGGAAAAAATTCTAAAATCGAACATTTTTTGCAAGTTTATTAATTTCCACGAAAAATTGTACATAAAAATTCTAATCACACGTAAAACATTATAGAAATGTCGCAAGTTGATGTGGTAAGTTAATAAAAAAGGAAAACTGCAATAATAAAAAACGCCCTTAGAACTAAGAAAAGCAATTCGATTTTTCCAAGCGCCGCTTATTTTTGTATGTTTAAGATTACAACCCTTATATATATATATATATATATATATGCACTTTACAGAAGCGAGCATTTAACAAAATGAAACACGATTTGGAGCCATGGCGTAACCTGATTGTACTGGTTGACAGTGTATTAAACTGGGAAAGGAATTATTATCCAGCTGCTCTATTTGGCGGCATCACATCATTCTATTTGCTGTTATGGGTTCTGCAATTATCTGTGGTTACCATGTTAGCAATAACGGGCTTATTTGGTGTACTATTCGATTATCTATATCCCTCCGTAAAGCGTATGTTTTTTAATATCGATAATTGGAGTGGCGACCAAGAGGCTCAATTTGAACGTATTGTAAATGAATTAACGAATATCAATTTACAAATAATGGCCTGGTATGATTATTTGTTTATTAATAAGGAACGTAAATCGTGTATGGTAAGTTGTGTATTTGTATAAACATATTAAAATAATAAATTAAATTATTTATTTCGATTATAATTACTGCAGTTTGTTATTGCCATGAGTGGTATGTTGTTGACGTTGGCTTGGATTGGCGCCATATTTAACAACATGCTACTAATGTACTTGGTGACAATAAGTGTGGTCATGTACCCGGGCGTACAAAATAGAGGTCTTTTAACACATTTTAAAGATAAATTCGGTTCTAGCTTAACCAACAAAATGGAAAAGTTACGTGAATTGGCAAAAAAACAAGAATAAGTGAATGAATGTTTCAAAGCTGCTTATTAAGAAGTAAGAGAAGATTTAATTGATACTCATAGAATCTCTTTCTATGTCTGTGACGTTTTGTCTTTTTTTCATTTAATAATAAATTTAATGCCATCTTAAAGAGTTTTCTGTGCACATATTTAAACAACACAAAATGCGACCAAAGCATATTCATTTACTTTTAAATCTTAGATAAAAATAAGGAATTTACCCTCTAGATTTATTTAAAAAGGAATGAATTTTAACTATATTATTTTGTGAGTTACAAAAAATTGTGCAGTTATTAGTTTTAGAAGTTAAATTTTTTGTAGATTTTTAGATTTTTAAGTTTTATTATATGGATTTTTTATACAATTATACAAAATTTGAATTTTTGAAATTCTGATTTTTTGAAAGGAAATAAAATATGAACTAGAAAATTTATAAATTTGGAGAAAGAAAAAACAATTTATTTTAGAGCGTACAAAATACTTCGACTTAGATTTTGTGCTCTCAGAAATAGAAAAAAAGTTACGCATTTTTAATGAATAAAAAAATTAATAATGCATCAGCACACAAACTCGTTTATTGTGTTTGATCTTTTCAGTCATTAGAAATTAAGAATTTATCATAAAATGTCATAAAAGTTTAAAGTAAGTTTAACAGTAAAGCGCAAATAACTCAAATAAAAACACTACCAACTTTTTTATTTCATTGACTTTACGCCAGCGGAGACCTACTAATGTAGAAATGTAGGAGAGTCGGAAGATCATGATGTTCAGACCTTTTTGCCTAGGAAGAGGTAAAACGTATTTGACCGAAAAACATCCGACAAAAGTCTTGCCAAATACCTGAATATACATGTGTATTATGCATATTTTTTTCTATTGTTGGGCCTTTCTTATCTGAATGTGGATCTAAGTTGAGAATAAAATTTCTTTCCTTCAGCACAAAAATGATATTCGGGTATAGTCGAACCTTCTATAATTACCACTTTCGTTTAAAAAAAAATTGAAAAAACTAAGCGTCGCGACTGCTTTTCCGTTTTTGTAGGTTCGATCATTGTATAGAAAGTATATGAAAATTTCTGTCGCTGTATTTGAGCGACCATCACAAAAAAAAATATTTTGCCTTTGAAGACAGTTTAGTTTGCTTTGTAGCCATGTCCTTTGACAAATGCGGCGCATTTTTAGGCCCAATTTACATGCATGAACTTTCCATTTTTTAAAGCCGACAAACTAATACGTGCAACGAAGAGAATCTTTACCGTAGGCGTCACACAGACGGGAAGTGTCAAATTGATTCAGAATCTATATACATTATAGGAAAGTTTTTTTCCGGATGTCGCAATCGTTTTGACAAAATGAATAAATATATCTTAATTCGTTGTCAATTTACTAGTCATGGCATATTTAAAATTGATAGGTTTGCTCTGTTAAACGTGCTGTTTTCCCCTTCATTTGGCAAAATTTTCGAATAGGTCTTTTTGTTGGTTACTTTAACTGACGCCACCAGCATCTGCTTTGAAAATATTTACAATGCTTGAGAAGAATACAGGAAACAACAACTTAAGGCTTAAGACTCCCACTCTTATTGTCGCTCGTTCAGGAATATTTCTACAATTTATGAAATATAGTGAAGAAAAACAATTAATTGGGTCCTAAAAGACTCAACGTATGTCATATATTATTTTTTTTACTTATTTGAAAATTTATTGTTTGTCTCTGGAACGTGAACGTTCACGATGTCTTTTGCTTTTTTTGCTTTTCTTCTTATGTTTTTTGCGTTTTTCCTCTTCTTCAAGCTCGCTTTCCGTATTCGGCGAGTTAGAATCTATTTCGTTATTCCTGCTATGCTTACTTTTTTTTTTTTTTAATTTTTTAATTTTTTTCTTCTTTTGTTTACTATCAGATGTATTTTGTTGCTCATATGCTGAGTCCGAGTTGCTATCTGTTTTTGTAGAGTTAGATGAATCAGAGGTTGTGGAAGGTTTGCTTTGCCATTGTGAAGAGGATAGTGATTTCCAGCGACCTTGGTTATGTACCCATTCTCCTTCACGCCTTTTTTCTGGCCGGACCGCAGCTTCTGTGCGCTTATATTTTTGAAATTCTGCATTATCTATACATTTATTTTTTATAAACAAAAAAGGAAAAGTGAAACAGAAAAAAGTAATGAGAAATCAATGTTTGCTTTAAATGATTAGTCATGTATATCTGCCACCGAAAGTCAATATACAAAAACTAAAACCCATTCTGCATTTGCGCCTGTAGCAGTACTGTTTCGCAGAGCGCTGATGGAGCTGATAAATAGTCGTAATATACTTAAGGCGAACTGGTAAAGACTCCGATTCAAAACTTTGTTGTGTTTCTTAGCAAAGCGGACCAAATTTCAAATTTTTTGCTATACTTATTAAAACTATAGGCGTTGTAGGATTTTATTTCAATCTCCTACATTGTATTTGATCAATAAATCATGAACAAGCGCTAGAATATGACAGCGTCGAATCAAAATTATAGATTACCAAGATTACCAACTGGTAAAGACTCCGATTCAAAGCTTTTTTGTGTTTCTTAGCAAGGCGGACCAAATTTCAAATTTTTTGCTATACTTATTAAAACTATAGGCGTTGTAGGCTTTTATTTCAATCTCCTACATTGTATTTGATCAATAAATCATGAACAAGCGCAAGAATATGACAGCGTCGAATCATAATTATAGATTACCAAGAAATATGTTTCCGATGCCTATTTTTACACGCTGTATAACGACAATTCTAGCATATGTTTTGCATTCGATTGCAGATCTAACGCAAAGATGCTGAAGCCAAAAGAATATAAGAAAATGATGGCCATGCTAACGATTGAAAAAAACATGGCTGGACGGGACGGACGCAGACCTTTGCTATATACATTATGCTTCTTTCGATGGCAGATATAAGAAAATATATCTGTTTTTAACTTACTGATGTATTTGCCATATTGTGCGTATTCTTTACGCGACACTGGCTGACATAAAAATTCATTAAATGCCTCAATAAGACCGCCTACAGCCATTTTGACTATAATTCGACCTGCATGATCGTCAAATCCTTCTATTTGGCCATAGAGATCTTTGTGTTTGCCGCCCAAAATACGTACAAAGGCATTGCGCTTTATTTCTAACACTTCATTGCTCTCTGGTGGAATTAATAAAGGCTTGGGTTTGAGGACTTTATCCACACCTAAGCCCATACCTTTAGGTCTTACCCGTTGTATTTCTTCTGAAATCGATTTATTTACGACGAGTTTAAAGGGTTCTACCCAACCCATACCTCTAAGCATCGCTTTGCCAAATTCCTGTATAGGTACTGACTCATAATCGTCCAAAGTAGATACTTTGGCCCCGTCCAAAGGTAATTCTTCAGATTTTACTATAGGCAAAATTAAGTTAGAAGCAATGTTCTGAAAACCGTTCCCCTGAACTCCTTCCAAGAGCTCACGGGCAGCCCTTTGCTCAAGTGTTTCCTTGTCGTGATTTTCATGATTTAAGCTATTGTTAATGTCACCATTTATACGATCTTCTACATCTTGTTCACCTAACAAGACGGCTCTTCTCCTCTTTAAACTCGCCAAAGCCTTAATGTTGATTTCATTCCCTTTTACGGGGATAATTAAAGGCGCCTCTTTCTGTTTTTTTCTAAAAAAGTAAATGCAAATAATTACTAAAATTACAATCTATTTAGCATAATAATAATTGCTAGGGCTTTTCAGTATTATTTCTGACAGAAAATTATGGTTTTTTACATAAAACTTTTTCACCCTTCCAAAGGTTTTGCTACGAGATATTGTTCACTGAGTTAGATTGTATTAATGAATCAAGCTTTATCGTCAAAATATATTTTTCCAATTGTTTTTACTTTACTTTTAGCTGTTTATGTTTAGCGAGTATATGTAGGCTTACTCTATCAATTTGATTTGTTGGTCTTCCAAGCATTTAATTAATTCCACTTTCGTTCCACTTTTGGAAGCATTTGTCTTCGGCAATAAATTCAGTTTTTTATCGACTTTAGTAAAACCAAATGATATTTTCTTTGGTTCCATTTTGTAAACAAATAAAATTGAAAGAATCGAAAATTTCACAAATTTTACAACCAGCTGTTTGACAAGTCCACATTTTGTAGAAAGTGTGGCATATACTATCTTTTGTTTGTCAACTCATTAAATCATCCGTTGTTGCTTTGCTGACACATAGAAGAAGATATATTTTCATAGTAAGGCGTTGCCATTTTCGGGCAAAATGAAATATTCTGGAAATGTCAACTAACGTAAGCATAACCTCATTTGAATGAGCCATTTTATAAAGAGCGACGCATATAAGTGTGAGCACGAGTTTTCTTGAGTGTCGTTTGAAAAATTATTATTAAAAAGAAGTGAAAAATGTTTGGAGGTCCACAATCTATATTGGTTTTAAGTATGTTTATTAAAAATTTTCTAATTTTTCCCGTTCAGTTCATGAAAATTAATTACTTTAGGCCAAAATACCAAAAGAGAATCGGGCCGAAAAGTTCAGCTGGAAAATATAAATGCCGGAAAGGTAAAGGGACTAAAATGAGTCATTATATAGGGGAGTCTTTTTCATTAATTAATATTCATAGGCTATAGCCGATGTGATACGCACCTGCTTGGGGCCGCAAGCAATGCTAAAAATGCTTATGGATCCTATGGGTGGAATAGTTATGACCAACGACGGTAACGCTATATTGCGTGAAATTACTGTTCAGCATCCCGCGGCTAAAAGCATGATTGAAATCGCTCGTACTCAAGATGAGGAAGTCGGAGACGGTACTACTTCAGTTATTGTCTTAGCGGGTGAAATGTTGGCAGCCGCAGAACCATTCCTACAGCAACAAATTCACCCTACCGTCATAATACGAGCCTATCGCGAGGCATTGGAGGATATTATTAAGCATTTACAAAGCGATTTAAGCGTAGCTTTGGATATTGGTAACAAGGAAAAGATGGGTGAGGTTGTAAAGTCTTGCGTAGGTACAAAATTCATCGGTAAATGGTCAGATTTGGCGGTGAAGATTGCTCTCGACGCAGTGCACACAGTCACTTTAAATGAAAACGGTCGTTTGGAAGTAGACATCAAACGGTGAGATGTTTGACCTTTTTTATTTATTTTTCTTTTACAAGTTGCCCTCTTTAGTTATGCTAAAGTTGAAAAAATTCCTGGCGGTTCAATAGAAGAATCTTGTGTTTTAAGAGGTGTTATGCTTAACAAAGATGTGACTCATCCAAAAATGCGACGTTACATTGAGAATCCTCGTATAGTATTGCTGGATTGCGCTTTGGAATATAAGAAAGGAGAAAGCCAGACTAGTGTCGAAATTGTGGGCGAACAAGACTTTACTCGCATGTTGCAAATTGAGGAAGAATTTGTGAACCGTGTTTGTTCTGATATTATCGCCGTTAAGCCGGACGTAGTCTTCACCGAGAAGGGTGTTTCTGACTTAGCTCAACATTTTCTGTTAAAGGCGGGTATAACTGCTGTACGCCGTTTACGTAAAACCGACAACTTACGTATAGCTCGTGCTTGTGGAGCCACTATTGTGAATCGTACGGAAGAATTAACAGAAAAAGACGTAGGCACCGGTGCCGGTTTATTTGAGGTTAAAAAGATTGGCGATGAGTACTTTACTTTCGTAACGCAATGCATAGATCCTAAAGCGTGCACTATAGTTTTGCGTGGGGCGTCTAAAGATATTTTGAATGAAACCGAACGTAATCTTCAAGACGCCTTGCACGTGGCACGTAATTTAGTTTTGGAACCGCGCGTGGTTGCAGGTGGCGGGGCTATTGAAATGTCTGTGTCTCAATTGCTTACACGAAAGCAATTAAAAGGTCCTTATACAGCTGTTGCTGGAGCTTTGGAAATTATACCACGCACTTTAGCTCAAAATTGCGGAGCAAATACCATACGCACACTGACAGCTTTAAGGGCTAAACATGCCTCTCATTCTGGTGATGGTGTGTGTGCATGGGGTATAGATGGTGAGTCCGGCGAAATTGTGGACATGAATGTCAGGGGTATATGGGAACCCTTGGCAGTAAAAATGCAGACCTACAAAACAGCTGTAGAAACAGCCATACTTTTGCTACGTATCGATGATATTGTCTCTGGCTCTAAGAAGAAAAGCGATAAGGAATCTGTTGCACCAGCTGCTCCTGCCAATCAGGGTGAAGATTGAAAGAGTAAAGAGTTGATTTCGTTTCTGCCACTAATGCCCACATATTTTTTTCATATTTACCAGCTTAAAACATTCATTTACGCGTGAACATTTTTATAATACTTGTAAAAGAAATAAAAGTCGAAGTAATTGAATTATTCTGTTTAATTTATTATTATTCTGTGTAATTTATAATTTGGACTTGGGGCAGTCCTCAGCAGAAACGCTGAATTTCTGCACTTCTAATTTTCTTTTAAAAGCATAGGCAGCATTTTCACGGTGCCTTCTCATAATTATATAAAAGTTTGTCCATTAACTTTATAACCTCCAGACCTATCGAAGTAAAGTGAGGATGTAAGTATCTGGCAAAAATCTCCAAACATTTCAAGTCCTTTACGCCCGGCCAATACTCTTTCAACCAAGTATATAAAGGTGGTTTATGAGAGTGTATAATACTAGGTATGCTAAAAATAAAGGATATCTCTCGTAAATTCTCCACACTCTCCAAATCATTGTTCTTGTGACAAGCTATATATAACGTTTCATAAGGCTGCTTAAACCCTTGCCCTTTCAAAGGACCAATTAAATTTCCTTCAGTGTTTAGTTTAAACCACTTCAAACTATGCACCAACTTCAAATTCCATTTGGGTAAAAAATCTTCAATGAGCATTCGTTGATGTTGATGCGAATTTGTGCACCAAAGAGCTACTAAGGTTTTAGAATGAGTTAGCTGCTCGATAGGCATAGATTTTAACTCCTCATTCCTTAACATATCGTAAGACAATGATTGTTTAACTTTTTTTAAACGTCTAATATACTTATTACGCCAAGGCATGTCCATCACAATTAGATCATATTTATCCAAGTCCTTTAGTAAACTACTGAGATTTCTTATATCGTGGTTAAAAAACCGGCTTAAAGGTGGTATGATAAATTCGCGATTGTGGAATGAAAAACTTTGAAAACGCTTAGTACCATTGACTCCATGAAATTGTGGAAATTCATAGCCCATGTCCCAATAACGAGGCATATTTTCCATTTCTTGATGATTTGGAAATATTTCCGCTTTTATATGTTGCAAAAAGGGTAGTAAGCGTTGGTTAAACTCGCGCAAGCCCTTGTTAGCACAATCTGGTTTACGTTTCCCGAGTAATCGTTTATTTTTATCGACTTGTTTTTTGAAGTTATCAGAGCCTTTATTGTTGAGAGATAATCGCGGTGAGAAATTGAATAATTCTGCTTTTAAACTATAACCCACGTCATTCTCTTCTAATACAGATTTACACTGCTCATCAATTAACTGCTTATGATTAAAAAATAAACAAGTCCCGTTCTCTATATTAATTTTTTTCATATTATGTTAAGAAATACAACGTTATAGCTGTGTATAATGCACGAAATCGGAGAAAATAAAGATCACACTCTTTTTAAAGTTTTTCTACACGTAAACAATAATGGTAATTATCCTATCTGCATGAAAGTTTCATCGTCGTCGTCTTCTTAATTATATCTTATACCACTTATGATAGAGAGTACATTAAATTTGTGCGGACGTATGTAATACGCAGAAGAGATTAACTCACCTTATTTTATACCGAGCTTGCCTGTCCGACTAATGGCTGCACATTTAAATTTGTTTTCAAACTACAGGTCGCAATTTTTGAGATATTTTTGTGAAAATAGTTCGGATAGGTCTGCTTTCTCTACCATTTCCGATATTACCCCTTATTTTGAAAGGGGAAGAAAATATCACTTTTCAAGATTTTTCGACAAAACTCACTCCGTAACAATATTTGGAATTCTAAATTGGTATGTAAAATTTATTTCGGTTAGGCCAATTTTTTAGTACTCTCTCTTACAAATAAACGTTCCTACGATATTTTAAAAAGGTATAATTTTTAATATTTCATGACGAAAATTAATTCGCAATGGTAAATTGACATAAAAATCAATCTTAATAAATTTGGACCACATGGGTTCACTTTTTGAACACTCCCACATATGGTGGCTTTTAATAAAAGTATGTCTCGCATGAAAATGTGTAACTTTTGGTGTATTATTACTAAAACGACTGAATAACATTATTAGGTGGAGTGATATAGATTACCTAATGGTTGACTTTTCCTGACTAAAATGTTCTTATTTGTTGATGTCTTGTTAAAGCCCGCTCAATTTCGACTTACTACTTTTTTATACCAAAAGGCTGTATGGGCGAAAACGCAATGAGGCGTGCGTTTTGGTATGAACATATGGGCGCCCAATAGAGAGACTTCGTTTTGTTTCGACAAATTAACGAAGGAAGCAGTTTACAAGTCAAAACATAAGCGCTAGGCACAATGGAGTGTTATTCTTCTTTTCGGAATGGGATTTCAAATTTGTATGTATACATACAAATGAAACACAGAGAGAAAAGCGTACGAGAATAAATAAATACAGCTAATTTCCAATTTTAAAATAAATCATCTAATTTACGCTTATTTTGTACTAATATAAATCTTTTTTATGTTACACGATTAAAAATTTTAGTATGTACTTCATATTATATTATAAGGAATGCAAAACAAGCAATAAAAGCAATCTATTTCCAATTTTAAATTTATTTGTCGAACCCAAATAAATACAGCAATTCCCTTGTTTTGTTTTAGTGCGCCAGTGAAGTGCTCCATGCTCCTTATTTTAATGTCATTTCATTAATTAATCAAAAATGTAGTATTTTTTTATATAAGTTTTTCTTATCATTGTTTTTCAAATATTTGTTCCTTACATGCATGCCGGTTTTTAAATTTTTCTCCATACGCTTTGTTTATATTACATCAATTTACTTTTCTTTTTTTATCAACAAGTATGGTAGCGCGGCCTGTCTCTCTCATTGCACGCACTGGGACTTGCTAACCATAAAACGGAATAGCGGATTATTATCTTGAAGGCCTAATATGTCTGCCTTGCCATATTATTTTATAAGAAGAAGTAAACAAATCTATTTATAGTGAAATAACTAACTTTTTTCTTTTTATTTGTTGGTGTACATACAAAACCGTATGGGGACTGACGCTTGAAGGATTAATGACGTAAATATGAAAAGATATTCGCATTTCATTCACAGTTGATACAACACGTCATCTCTGCAAACGGCAGCTGGATCATTTTTGTGTTTTGCCGGTGTTAGTGCAAAAAAAAAAAAGAATATAAATATTTGTAAAAAGGAGGAGAGGTTTAATAAAGTAATAAAATAACCAAAGAAAACAATTTTAAAGGAAGAAAAGGAGGAAGGAAGAGGAATCTCTCGTGAGAGAAAAATTAAAGAGCAATATATATATTAAATTTATTGTTTTTTCGTTGTGATTCTTTTTTTTTTTTTTTTTTTTTGGTGTTCCCTGTGATAACAACCAAAACAACATCAGCCCGTGTCCCTGTGGATACTGGGTCTGATCTTATAACTACTAACAGAGACTGTTTTGGAGATTTTTATATGAATGCCACTGGGCGCACCACGAGATCGAGAATGGGTGACAATAACCTTCTTTCATCTCCCAATGGAGCGGATAACCCAAATGTTTCAATTATGCCTCGTAAAGCGGCAGTCGACAAGCCCTCTGAGTTGGGTGCTACGACTAACCCAAATCATGAGATCAATTTGTACGATTGCTTTTTGAAGTGCAATTTCTTTGTCTAAAGTGTTTTTGTCTAAAGATAGCGCTCCCTAAGTCAATAAAATTTAATTATTGTTATCTGCCCATTGAGTATTTTGTACCCACTTTAAATCAGTGCTTTAAGTGCGGTAGATACGTTCACGTGTCAAAATTCTGCAAAGCTAAAAAGAGCAGGTTCCTTAACAGTGGGAAGTCTCCGAATTATGTGAACTATGAGACGATGAAGTGCTTGTCCTGTGGTTCAGGTGAGCACAACACTCTCAATAAGTATTGCTTGAACTTGAACTTGAAAGATTAATGCTCGCGATTCAAGAAAGTATCCGCCCGACGATCCCTCATAATCTTATTAAAGATTTTGAAGAAAAAATGTCTGTCTGTGTCATTTCTTGCTCCGTTCAAGCACCCAGTACTACGTGGAAATCCGCTGAGGTTGTTTCTCAAGTTTCAACATGATATCCTATAATATTGAAAGTGTCCGACGTAACCTATCGTTTTTGGACTTTTATTTAAACTCAAACAAGGTTGATTTGTGCATCTTAAGTGAAGTTTTTCTGAAAGATGAAAATTATTTTGAAGTTTCGAATTATGCCGTAGTCACCAAATGCCGAAATGATGGCTATGGCGGTGTTAGTATATTAGTTAAGAAAGGTGTCAATTTCAGACTTATTCCCTATAACTGTGCTCTTGAGATTATCATCATCAAAACCTGAAACCGAATGTTTTCATAGTATCATGCTACTTTCCACCCAGTCTCGATGTGCAAATCTTTCGTGATGAGATTCAGAGATTATGTGACTTTCTTGATGGTGAACAAAATGTGATTCTAGCTGGAGATTTCAATGCAAAACATTGCTTGTATGGCGATCAAGTCTCGACCAACAAAGACAAGATCCTTGTAAATGTTATCAATTCCAGCAGTTTCAGTATCTTAAATAATGGCAATAATACTTTTCACTGTAACCGGAGTGGTCGCACGGCGAGCAGTGTCTTGGGTCTACGTTTCTCGAATTCAACCATTTTATCTTTCAACTGGAACATGTCCTACGTTTCCATTGGCAATTATATTATTCCACAGTTGTAACAATTCCGTTAAGAAAATAGAAAATTTCATTTCACGCAACTTCCTTATAGACCGTCTGTCTAAAGTTGAACTTCCTTCTAATTTATCATCAATTCAAAATGTCTTTCAGTCTGTGATCAGGTCTGCTAGAACTCTTCCCTGTCAACACTTTTCGCAAATACCAAGCTGCAAGGAAAAAAATGAGTAAATATGCCAATCCAGCTAACTACATCGAATATATGAAAACAATGAAAGAATGGAGGTCTGTAGTTAGAAAGACGAAAAGAATACGTAGAGCTATCGCGATTAAAGATTTATGTGATAACGGCAACCCACGTTCTTCGACATTCTAGTTGAAAATTAAGCGGTTGTGCTGAATGATAATAAAAGATACTTGGATATGTTTAAGAGCTACATTCCAAGTGTCAATCCGATTACAATACCTTCAATTCCTTTTAGTGGTCTCAGCAACACACTCTTTTAATTGCATGAGCTGGTGTATGTTTTACATTCCACAAAGAGAGCTACTGCTGCAGGTTGTGATGCAGTCAATTATGACATGCTCAGAGCACTGTCTGGAGGAAGCCTTAGCCTCTTGCATGCAATTAACAACTGCTGGTCCATCAACTTTATACACTCAGATTTGCGATGCATCAAAATAGGTCCCATTCCTAAGACAGGTAACGACTTAAATGATTTAAGTGGCTTCAGACCAATTTCATCTGTATCTGTATTCATAAAGACTATCAATCTCATGTTTAAGGGGAGACTAACGGGTTTCCTGAAAACTGAGAACAAAGCCTGGACATCAACAAAGCCTTTGACTGTGTCAACTTGATTAAGCTTGGTAGAATTCTCTTAAATTCTCTTCGATTCCTTTTCAAATGCGGCTGTGTATACTTAATTTTTTATCCAAGCGTGTGTTGGTGATGGGTACTGAAAAAGTTGAAATATACGGTGGTATCCCAAAACGCAGTTGTTTAAGCCCCATACTCTTCAATCTATACGCAGCTTCTTTGCATGATCTTCAAGATGACAAAACTCATATTTTTCAATATGCAGATGATTTTCTGCTGTCAATAACCTTTCGATGAAAGCGAACTTATTTTTCGATGCATGCGCTGATCTTAATTTATATTTTAACCCCAGCAAACCAAATGCTATTTATGTTGCCAAAGGTTCTAAACGTGAAATCAGACTTCTTATCAAAGGTACCCTAGTTAATCATGTAAAATCCCTTCGACTTCTTGGGAAAATTTGAAATGACAGCTTAACCCTTCGTGGGCATTATGAAATGGCGTTCAAAGACTGTCAGTGTGGATGCAACATTATCAAACTCATGACAAACAATCAGGCAGGGTTGCCTCCCAAAAATGCTTTGACCGTTTACAAATCTCTAGTCAAGTACAAAATTGAATTTGGACATTCCACATGTTGCAATTTCCCAAAATATATTGAGAAACGTATACAAGCATTTGAAAACTGAATTTTGAAGCGTTGTACTGGACTGACTCCCTCAAATCCTCAACATATTCTCAATGTCATATCTGGTGAGTGGCCCGTTTCCAAGGAGTTAATTAAAGTCAAGATGGTAAATCCTTCTTTTTTTCAGGAAATTATATCTCTCAGTGATACTGTCACTTGCAGCTATACTTTTTGCTGTCAAAAACTTCGTCATATTTTTGATAAGTTAGATTCAATTCCTCCCTTGAATTTCATTACCA